GTTTCGCCATGTTGGCCAGGCAGGCTGGCCTCGAACTCCTGGCCTCAGGTGATCCTCCCACCTCAGCCTCCCAAAGTGCTGGGGTAACAGGCGTGAGCCACTGCACCTGGCCTGCCTAGCCTAATGTTTTTAACATTGATTGACATTTCTTTCTTGAATTCTCCCTTTTAAGAGGAAACCTTTCCTAGAGATCTCTCAGCAGACTTCCTTTTAAGACTGTTCTAAATCGAGTGACATGATCTGTTCCTAATCTAATCATTGGAGATGGAAAAGGAATGACTGTGATTACCTAAAGTGAGTGTAAACTAACCCTTGGCAAAGGGGATGGGGTTATCTAGTCACCTGCTTTGTAGTTACAGGCAAACAGGGGCTGGGAAGGTGAAGAGTGGATGTCTGAACAAAATTTAGTTCCTGTTAGGAAAGAAGAAAGGGGCAATGGATGTTAGGTAAGGAGATAAAATGTACACTACACTTTAACGATACAACATAACAGTTATGAAAGAAGGTAAGAATGGTGAAGGGGGCTCCACTTACCTTTGGTTTATTTATTCCACCAGTCTTCCTTCCTTCCTTTTTGTTTTACACCTGTAAGCTTCAGACTCTAGAGTGGTGGGTTCACCAACCACTCCAAATCCTACCCCTGCAATGGATTTTATTATACCACCAGGTTGAGCGAAGCTGACCAACTTCAGGGGCTTCAGGGAGGAGGCAAAGGCAGGGAGGGGGTAACTGAGAGGTGAGAGCCACACAGTACCCACTTTCTAGGTAATCAATTGCCAGCAATTCAGCATGCCATCATTGCTGTTCTAGCTGTGTGTAGTCGATGTACGCAAATGAGAGGGAGGTTGCAAGTAGAATTTTTTTATACATGTATAAAAAATTATATATCTCTATATATCTCGTCAATGAGCAAAAAATTGAAATGTGGGACTACCTTAAACCTCGATTCCTTCTCTCTTGTCTTATGTTCTTGAACACTCTTCCACAGTAGGGGGCAATCTGACTGGAGAGTGAAATACTCTTTCCTGTTGAATGACCATGGCACTCCTGTCTTAGTTTCTTCTCACCCTATTTCTAGGCCAAGGTCATTTCCCTCTAACATCCTTAATAACAGATTCTGAGCCAAGACCAGGCACAGTGGCTCATGCCTGTAATCCCAGCACTTTGGGAGGTTAAGACAGGTGGATCACCTGAGGTCAGGAGTTGGACACCAGCCTGGCCAACATGGTGAAACCCCATATCTACTAAAAATACAAAAATTAGCTAGGCGTGGTGGTGGGCTCCTGTAATCCCAGCTACTTGGGAGGCTGAGACAGGAAAATTGCTTGAACCCAGGAGGTGGAGGTTGCAGTGAGCTGAGATCACGCCATTGCATTCTGGCCTGGGTGACAAGAGCAAAACTGTATCTCAAAAAACAGACAAACAAAACAAAACAGGTTCTGAGCCAAGAGAATGTTACCTCAGGATTGGTTCTGGACTAATAAGAAGCTACTGGGATGGTCAGCCACCATATTTGGAAAATGCTAGAGATCTTGAGATGTAAGTAAGACTCTTCTATTCTTGGGATCTACTGGGTGTCAGTCAGTACATTTACCCTCAAGGGAACATAAATTCATTTTGTAAGCAACTGGGGCCCATACTTTCAATGTGTCACTTATTTCAATATGCCAAAAGTATAGTATTATATGTGGCAATGTGTTGGATGTGAAAAGAGACACAAGTCCCTATCCTTGACAGTGAAAAATGTTCTTCTCTGAAGATCCCAGGTAAAGCTGAAGACCAAGGCAAATTCCAAATAGCTGCTTGGGATGACTTTTCTGCTCCTTGGGAACCTCACTCAGCTGTCAGCGATAGTGAACAAAGCACGTGGAAAAGGAAGTACATAAGCCAAACCCTTCTCTCTGGCTGTGTGCATTTGGATCTGTCTTTAGTCTTCTCTGTGGCATGAATGTGCCATTGAGCCTCAGGGACTGTGCCTGAGGCACTGTTCCAGGCATCTAAGAGCCAGAGTGTCAGACCTGAGTCTTCTCTGGCATTGTAGATCCTTAACAAGGATCAGCAGAGGAAGCTCTCCAGGACTCTCTGACTATGAGAGGGAACTTGTGTTAGTCCTTGGCTAAGAGTTTTTTTTTTTTTTGAGAGGTAGTTTTGCTCTTGCCCAGGCTGGAATGTTTGGCGCGATACCGGCTCACTGCAACCTCTGCCTCCCAGGTTCAAGCGATTCTCCTGTCTTAGCCTCCCACGTAGCTGGGATTACAGACACCTGCCATCATGCTTGGCTAATTTTTGTAATTTTAGTAGAGTCATGGTTTCACCACGTTGGCCAGGCTGGTCTCGAACTCCGACCTCAGGCAATCCACCCGCTTCGGCCTCCCCAAGTGCTGGGATTACAGGCTTGAGCCACCGTGCCCAGCCTAACAAGCTCTTGGGGCTGCCTAAGTCAGACTGTCAGGTTTCTGTTGGGCTGCAGGAACCCATTAAGGGCTGGCTAGAGCGTGAGCCTGATTATGCTGGAATCTGAATGCATCCTCGTAAAATGGGATTTGGAAGAGAGCAGAATTGGTATAGGTCTCCAACACTCCAACCTACACATCTGCCTGCAGGTGTGTATTCAGATTCCCTTAATCTCCTATATTTCCATCCTTCTTATAAAAATACAGGATGCATAGCAGAAATAAGTGATGCAGACTAAAAATATTACCTTCAAGAAAGGAGCAGGTCAACAAGGACGTGGCTATCAGGAAAGGCTGCGTGAAGGTGAGCTATGCAGGAAGGATGTGATTAGGATGGGCAGAGAGGAGGAGTGGGGACACTGGAGGTTTGTGTGGGACTTCATAAATGGTGGACAGAAATAATTTAAATACTGATTCACTAAAAGTATTGAAATATCAACCTGTCACCCAGGTCGAATTCTCCAGGAAGCATATTCTAAGACAGTGTGTACTAATTCGTTTCTTGTGGCTGCTGTAATAAGTTCCTACATACTTAGCAGCATAAAATGACAAACTTTTATTATCTTATAATTCTGGAGGTCAGAAGTCTAAAATGGTCCTCAGGGTTGCATTCCTTCTGGCTCTAGGGGAAAATCCACAGGCAAACATACAAGCACGAGCACATTCCATGTGGTCAAACTCACATCCACATGCTATGCAGATGTCCCAGCAATGATGGATCTGGTCTTTAGGGGCCCTGAAGAACGGAAATGAGTACAGAACTCCCTATTCATATAATCCAAAACAAAATAAAATCAGCCCCAAAACAACAACACTAAAAAGCATACATATGTGTGAAGTTAAAAAAAAATTCTTTCTAGATTGTTCTGATTGGACAATTATGGAAAGTTCATCAAAGCTGACGTTTTCTTATTTGGGGAACCACTTTCATGCTGAAGCCCTAAAGCGTATGCTGAGTCTGAACCTTGGAACATCAGCATCAAGTCTCAGATTTTTCTAGCCTGCAGGTGAGCAGTTCAGCAGCTTATTTCCACACACAAACGCTTTAGATAGTTGGAAAAGAAGAACTGAAAATAATGGTCTTCCATACTCTATGACAACAATTTAAAGCTAGAAGGGTTTTTTAAAATGGTAATGTTCTCAGTCCCCTAGTTTACAGGTGGAGCCTCGGGAGAGAGGACTAGAAAGTTCTTGCTATTAAATAGTGTGACCCAGTGAGGATTGGTGCACCCTGGCATAAGGAATAGGTTTACTGCACCATAACCTCATTGAATGTTTCCCACCACCGCCTTTTTTGTTTGTTTGTTTGTTTTTGTTTTGAAGCATTCACCTAGGGGGACATAAGTAAGATGCATGTCTACACGTAGGAAATGCGCAGACTCAAGCGCCATGGGGCAGGAACCATGAAGGGCGTTGTACCTGAGCATACCCCCAGTGCCTGTTGCAGGCCCTAGCACACCTTCAAATGTTGGTTGACAGGCCGGGTGCTGTGGCTTATGCATATAATCCTAGCACTTTGGGAGGCCAAGGCCGGCGCATCACTTGAGGTCAGGAGTTCGAGACCAGCCTGGCCAACATGGTGAAACCCCCGTCTCTACTAAAAATACAAAAAAATTTAGCTGGGCTTGTTGGCACGCACCTGTAATCCCAATTACTCGGGAGGCTGAGGCATGAGAATTGCTTGAACCCGGGAAGCAGAGGTTGCAGTGAGCTGAGATTGTGCCACTGCACTAGAGCCTGAGAGACAGAGTGAGACCCTGTCTTAAAAAAAAGTTGGCTGACTGAATGCTGGAAGGAAGAAGGACCTGGCTTGGTCCCCACACCAATCTGGGGGGCGAGTACAGAGTGTAAACTGTCTGGAGGTTGGCATTGGCCTAGCTTCTCTGTTGCTCTCTTGTTCTTTAGAATCCAATCAAGCACCTGTGGCCAGAGAGATGTGTAAAATGGAAACCGGTCCCACCAGCCCCTGACTGTACCCCCTCAATGCCTTCTCGCCCTGTTTAATGTCATGTCCAAACTTCTGGCCGCGGTGGCCTGTCTCCACCTCTCCAGCTTCCTCGCTTGGCTTGGCCTTTCTCCTTAGCTCTCTCTGCCTCACCCGCACCGGCCTGCAACTCGCCAGACTGCCCCAGGTTTCTGAGCTTCTGCACAGGCCCTTCCCTCTCCAGGCTCTCTCCCCTGGATCTTTGCTTCAGCTGCTCCTTCTTGACATTCAGGTCTCAGACCAATGGCCCCGTACTCAGAAGGCCTAGCACAGGCCGCCTAATTTCACGCAGTTCTCCCCCAACCCGCGCTGCCTTCCGTCACCCGTTTCATTTTCTTCGTGGCCCGGAGCACAATCTCCAACGGCCTTGTTCATTTAGTTGATTTTCCGACTTAGTTCCAGGCGCTAAAGCAGTGTTACCTTGGCAGACTTCCCATCAAATATTATTGCGCAAAGGATGGATGGATGAAAGGAAGAGTGAGCCAATCAACGAGGGAACGCGGGGAAAGGCAGCCTCAGGGCGGCAGGCCCTGCCACCCCCACCGTCCCTGGGCATCCGAGCAGGTTCCCGCCCCCGGCCCGCGCGCGCTCGCAGACCCGCGGCGGAACCCGAGGGCGGCGGCAGCGGTTTCCCTTGAACGAGCCGGGGAATCTGGAGGGAGCACACAGGAAAGGCAGAGCCGCGAGCTGGTCCAGCCGTGGTGAGTGCAGCGGCGTGCGGGCGGGGAGCGGAGTGCGGGGCGCTGGGAACGGGCGCGCGAGCGGGGTGGGAGTCGGGATGGGGTCCGGGGCGCTGGGCGGAGCCTCTGGAGTCGCGCTGGGCCGAGAGCCTCGGGTACCCGAGCATCAGGCGTCGTGGGTGCAGGCGGCTGCGCGGCTTGAGGGTAGGGGGTGCGGGCCTGGCCGGCGCGGCGGGGGAGAGCCTCGCGCGGATCTCATGGTCACTGCGGGAGTCAGCTACCCTGAGTTCGAGTCCCAGAGCTGTCGCTAACTTGTGAACCCTCCCTCACTCGTCCCTTGGACTTAAGTATAGTCCTTTGCAAAATGGGGCCAATAGTATCCCATCCATTGATGGGATGGTTGGTTCATTCATTCTGGCGCTTTACTAGGTTCTGGTACTGCAGATGGATAGACAGAACTTGCCCACGAGGGGTTCACTGTCTAGTGAGAAAAACATTTCCACCTGGATGCTCCACAGGCATGTCAAATTCAGTATCTCTTAAACCGCACTACTCTTCTCCACAGACCTACCACTCAAATCTAAATGATTGAAATCACTATTCAATCAGTCACCCAAGCACAAAAACCTGGCTTGGTTCCTCCTCTCTCACTTCCTACAGTCAGTGAACCACCAAGTGCTGCCAATTTCTACTTTCTAAAGCTTTCCAAATCCATCCTTTATCTTGGTTTGTTCTTTTAGGTACCTAGAGATTATGGCAATAACTTCCTAATGGTTCTCTTTAGCTTTAATTTTAGCTTCTTCCAGTTCATTTTTCATTCTGCTACAAAGTGGTCTTTTAACAGTTCAAATATGATTATATCACCCACCTGCTTAAAGCTCATTAAAGGTTTTTCATTGTCTTCAAAATAATAGCCAAAGTCCTTAGTGTGGGTTCAAGGTCTTTTCTAAACCCCCCGTGGTCCTCAATCCTTTATCTCTAAACCACTATTTCTCGAAGTCTGGTATAGTGGTGACCTCCATTACAACCAACATGGGAGTACTTGTTAAAAGTGAAGATGACAGCTTAATTCCAAAACAAATGAGACTCTTTGGGGCGGGGGCAGTTTCCAGGATTCTGTGTTTTTAACAAGTCCTGCACTAAAGGTTGAGAACCCCTGTTCTAGACACTCCAATTTTTACTCTGCTGTTGATGGGGTACAGGACACACTGCCCCAAAATATGACTCGTTGGCATTAGAGGAAACAACTGAAGCAGGAAAGTCACTTTGTGGCTTTCCACTCTTCTCCCCTGAAGCAGGCCATGAAATAAGTCTTTGACCTTCTTCTGTATAAGACCCTCCTGTGAGAGGTGCTCATCCTATGAGTATAGGATCGAGGAAAGGAATGCCCTTATCTTTGAAGACACAGGTACACAGAGAAGAATCTGAACAAACAGGCCTTGCCAAGTTCTCCCTAGCGTATTACCGTTAGATCATACCCCCTTTTTCCAGTCATACTTCTCCACGGCCGTCCACTCTGCATCAAACCTAGCATAAAAATACATGAATTTACCTGTTTCTGGGTATTCATTTTCTTAAGAAGGTTCCTGTGTCGCCTAAATCTTACCTTAAATAAATATGTATGTTTTTGTCTTGTTAATCTCTCTCTTGTTATAGGGGTCTCAGCCATGAACCTAGTTCTCCTCTCACTACCTATGTATGTTTCTCTCAACACACTTTACTGTCTTTTATGACTTTGTACACTCTCAGTTTGGGCTACTGTAAAAAAAAAAAAAAAAAAAAAAAAACTGGGTGACTTAAACAACAGAAATTTAATTCTCACAGTTCTGGAGGCTGGAAGTCCAAAGTCAGGGTGCCAGCATGGTTGAGTGCTTGGTGATAGCCCTCTTCCTTGGTTTGTAGATACCTCTTCTTGCTGTATCCTCACAATGCAGAGAGACCATCTCTGTAGAGTCTAGTCTTATAAGGACACTAATCCCTTTCATGGGAGCCACTCTCATGACCCAATTATCTCCTGAAGGCTCTATCTCCTCATACCATCTCACTGGGGATAGGGCTTCCATATCAGCATTTTTGGGGAACACAGCATTCAGACAATAGCATCCACAAAGCTCCTTTGTTACTTTAGTGACTCCTCCTCATTCTTCAGGGCTCAGGGAAGACTTCATTGACTGTGCGTCACTCCCTCAGCCCTAGACCAGGTTAGGTTCATTCTTGCAGACTCTCAGAAAGCCTTGTGCTGACTCATTTATCTCACTGTACTGCAATCATAATTGTATAATTGTTTTAGCATTGTGGGTTTGACAGTTGTGATTACTTGAGAACGAATGAGACCGGTTCTTCTCTGCCCTCACCCTCAGCACAGAGCCTACCACATAGGTGTTTATTAAAGAGCTCTTGAATGAAGGAGTGATTTAGGGTCAGATGGAGAGGAGTTCAATAATTAGTTGGGCCTTTGGAATCATGTGTCAGCCTGACGGTGTATGGGATTCACAGGAAGATGGTCTCCCTGGCACTGGCTTCACTGCTGCTTTCAATAAGGATGCTTCTTCCCTTGAGAGGAATTTTAACCAATGGAATTTAAAGGGAGTCATAAAAGAACTGGACTTTTAAGTGGAAACAGTTTCTTTTTCTTGGTCTATATACCTCACTAACAGATAGTCATAAAAATTTTTTTCTTAAATTTTTGTTTATCTAGAAAATAATTAAGTTCACTTTCAAAAACTTAGAAAGTACATTGCAATTTTAAAAATAAAATAAACATCACCCACCATTCCACAACCTAGAGGGATCTACTTTAAAATTTTGGTTTTGAGCCAGGTGCAGTGGCTGACGTCTATAATCCCAGCAATTTAGATGGCCAAGGTGGGATGATTGCTTGAGGCCAGGAGTTTGAGACCAGCCTGGGCAACGTAGTGAGACCTTGTCTCTAACAAAAAATTAGCCAAGTGTAGTGGTACGTGCCTGTGGTTCCAGCTACTCGGGAGGCTGAGGCAGGAGATTTTTTTGGGCCCAGAAGTTATAGTGAGCTACGATTGTGCCACTGGACTCCATCCTGGATGACAGAGTGAGACCCTGTCTAAAAAAAAAAATTTGTTTTTGTTTAATTCTATTAGTTTTTTTTTAAATTTATACTCATGTTTGAACGTAATTGGGATAATGCCAATTATATATGGCTTTTTATCCTGCTAATTTTACTTAACATTATGTTTTGGGTTTTTTCCACATCAGTACAAATTTGGGGTAAAAAAATAATTGCTATTTAACTTATTCATTGAACAAATACCTCTTAAACAGCTATTGTATGCCGGATCTTACTTTAGGCATGGGATACAGCAGTGACCAGAACAATGTCCTTACTCTCATGGAGTTTACATTCCAGTAGGATCAGGCTAATAAAGGAGCAAGTGAATATAAGCATCATCAAATAATAAGTGTCATGAAGAATATTCTGTTGTGTCACTCTGTTTTTTAGTAAAGTCTTCCTAATTTGCCGCCTTTAAAGGAGTGTGTGAGTGTCTATCATTTTATTATGTCATCAGTGAATACGATCATTTAAAAAATTATTTTGGTCAATAATGATCTCTGTAATTTGCATGTCTTTGATTATTCAGGAAGTTGAACATTTTTAGATAGCCATGTGCATTGCCTCTTCATTGAGTTTTCTATACATGTTTTCTGTTTCTTTTCCTGTTGAAGACCTGGTATTTTCTTCTATTTTGAACTCACCCTTCGTATTATTATTGTGTTTTGGGGACACTTATGATGGATAGACAAATGTATACTCTTAAACAGTGGTACAGTGAGGCTGTAAGGAGTCAGAAAAACCAGAGGAAGCCTGGAATTCCCTTCCTCTCTTTCTGCCCTATCCCTCTTCCTTCTATTACCATAAGGAAAAAGTGATCAGAGAGGGAAGAAATATAGGTTAGGTGAAAATATGTGAAGGAAGAAAGAAAGGTGGATGTGTGGGTGGGTGAGAAGATGAAGATGATGGGAATAGAAGGGAGAAGATGAGCTAAGGCCAGAGGAGAAATGGTAAGGAGGAAGAGGAATGAGTGGGAAAAAGAGTGGGAGAGGATAAAAGAATGGAAGATAGAGTAATAGGGACATTACATGAAGATCATGGATAAATTTTTTTTTTTTTTCTTTTTCTGCCTCTACTAATCTAGCAAATCTCTAGAAGATGACGGTGTTCTTTAAAACGCTTCGAAACCATTGGAAGAAAACTACAGCTGGGCTCTGCCTGCTGACCTGGGGAGGCCATTGGCTCTATGGAAAACACTGGTAATTATCTGACAGCCCCACTCCACCTTTGCACCCACAGCGAAACAGCCCCAAAGAGCTTTGGGTTAAAATCTTGTTCAGCTGTGCTTATCTCTATAAAACATGTGGTGTAAAAGAAAAATCAATGCGATTCAAAGCAAAAACAAAGACTTCTTGTACCCAGAGCTGGAACTACATGTATACTCATATCCAGTGGATAGAGAATAAAGTAGATCAGAAAGGAAGCTATTTTTATTCATTACATTTATAGTTGAAGAAATTAAGACATCCTAGAGAAAGATAAGTCCTTTCCCAAGTTAGTAGTGTAAACACCAAAAATCTGAGACAGGGCTTAGTCAATTTAGTAAGTTTATTTCACCAAGGTTAAGGACGTGCGCCTGTGACACAGCCTCATGAGGTCCTGATGACATGTGCTCAAGGTGGTCTGAGCACAGCTTGGTTTTATACATTTTAGGGAGCTATGACACATCAATATATGTAAGATGAACATTGGTTTTGGTCTGGAAAGGTGGGACAACTTGAAACAAAAGTGAGACAGCTGAAAGTAGGGAGGAAGCTTCTAGGTCATAAGTAGATAAGAGACAAATGGTTGCATTCTTTTGAGTTTCTGATTGGTCTCTCCCAAGTAGGCAATCAGATATGTATTTATCTCAGTAAGCAGAGGGATGACTTTGAATAGAATGGGAGGCGACAGGGCGCGGTGGCTCATGCCTGTAATCCCTGCACTTTGGGAGGCCGAGGCAGGTGGATCCTTTGAGGTCAGGAGTGGCCAACATGGTGAAACCTCATCTCTACCAAAAATGCAAAAATTAGCCAGACAGTAGTGGTGCACACCTGTAGTCCCAGCTGCTTGGGAGGCTGAGGCAAGAGAATTCGCTTGAGCCTGGTAGGCTGGGATTGTGATGAGCTGAAATCAGGCCACTGCACTCCAGCCTGGGTGGGAGAGTGAGACCCTGTCTCAAAAAAAAAGAATGGGAGGCACTTTTGCCCCAAGCAGTTCCCAGCTTGACTTTTTTTCTTTAGCTTAGAGATTTTGGGGCCCCAAGATTTATTTTCCTTTCACAGTAGTAAGCAAGGACTGGAACTCATGTCTCCCTGGCATTTTATTCCTTCCGTTTCTTACTATAGTCTCTTGATCTGTCATCAAGGGACACTTACTGAATTTGTTCCTCTATCCCCTGTGACTATCTTCTTCTATCCCATTAGCCTACATTGATTTAAATGAGAAGTAAACTTTCAAACCTTTTGTTTAAATAAAGAATTCAGAGGAGTCATGGATTTTATTAGTCTTCATGCATGGAGGGAGAAGAAAGTGCCAAAGCTCCTCTTCTAGTTTAACACGATACTAAGATTTAAATAAACAGATAAGTTTTTGTATAAAAATTATACAAATTATGAAGGCAGCCAATCAAATTGCAGTCTTTTGGAGATTAAGGACTACATTTTAAGTATGTAGCAACACTAAAATCCAGATGTCTTAAATGACTGCTTTGTTGAACAGAAAACAGAACAATTACTCTTTGAACTAAAAGTCTTAACATTGGAAAAGAGATTCATATTGATATTTTGTGAACACTCAATTCACCACTGTGAGAATAACTTTATGATACAACATGATGGCTGCTTTTTTTTTGCAGCTGTAGACAAATTGGAATATATTCCCCTTCTTTTCTTTCTAAGTATTGTCAAGGCCAGATGCTCAAATTCCATTAGCCAGCATCTAAGGAAAAGAGCAAACGTAAGAAGTTTAAAATTTGTAGTTAAGAAAAGGGTGGAGCAGATATTTTAACAAATAGAGCATGGAATGTTTGGCTTCTCCTTTTTCCAACTACACTTGAGTCCTCAAGGCCCCTTTATAGGCGCATCCAATCTAGGTCATGGCTAGGTCAGTCGGGGGAAATTCCCACCCACTGAGGATTCCTGCTGTTTCTAGGTGAAGATTCGAGGAACTGTGTACTCTGTTCAGGATGTCTTTAGAGGAACCATGATAAGTTCTTGCCCATGTAACCTTGAGACTTTAAAAAAGGACCATTAAGTCTTCAGGACTAACGGAGGCCTTATTCTAAATTGGATCTGAAACAGCTTGAGCCAGAAGTGTGGTGGCAGCCTGGAGGCCTCATTTTGCTTTCTCCACCCTTGACATTCAATGTTACTGCTGCAAATGCAAACTCCTGTTGTCCTATTGCTCTTCTTTTTCTCAGACTGTTCTCTTGCATGATTTGGTACTATTTAGCCTTTTTAAAAAAATTGTGGTGAAAAAACACGGGACATAAACATTTGCACCTTAACCATTTGTAAATCTACAGTTTGATGGTGTTAAGTATATTCACATTGTTGTTCAACAGATCTCTAGAACTTTTTCATCTTGCCAAACTGAAACTCTGTACCCATTGAACAACTGCCCATTCCTGCCCCACCCCAGCTGCCCTTGACAACCACTATTCTACTTTCTGTTTCTAGGAATTTGACCACTTCATACTTTGTGTCAGTGAGTCATATAGTATTTATCTTTTTGTGGTTGGCTTGTTTCACTTATAATGTCCATAATGTTTATCTTTACCTTTTCTTTTTTTTTTTTTGAAATGGAATCCTGCTCTGTCACCCAGGCTGGAGTGCAGTGGTGTGATCTTGGCTCACTGCAACCTCTGCCTCCCAAGTTCAAGTGATTCTCCTGCTTCAGCCCCCCAAGCAGCTGCGACTGCAGGCGTGTGCACCATGCCTGGCTAATTTTTCCATTTTTAGTAGAGACAGGGTTTTACACTGTTGGCCAGGCTGGTCTCGAACTTCTGACCTCAGGTGATCTGCCCGCCTTGGCCTACCAAAGTGCTGGGATTACAGGTGTGAGCTACCGTGCCCGGCCTATATTATCTCTAAATGTAAAGATACATTCTTTACATTTAAAGAGGTATGGCCTTTATATCTGTCAATGGACATTTTGGTTACTTTTACCTCTTGACTATTGTGAAACATGCTACAATTAACTCGAGTGTACAGATACCTCTTGGAGATCCTGTTTTTAATTGTTTTGGATATATGCCCAGAAGTGGGATTGCTAGATCATATGGTAGTCTATTTTTAATTTTTTGAAGAGCCTTCATACTGTTTTTCCATTGTAGCTCATCATTTTACAATCCCACCAACAGTGTACAAGGTTTTCAGTTTCTCCACACCCTCATCAACACTCATTATTTTCTGTTTGTTTGATATGGGCTATCCTTATGGGTGTGAGATGATATGTCATTGTGGTTTTGGTTTGCATTTCTCTAATGATTAAGGAAGTTGAGCATCTTTTCACATGCATGTTGGCCATTTAAAAATCTTTGGAGAAATGTCTGTTCAAGTCCTTTTTCCATTTTTAATTGAGTTTTTTGTTGTTGTTGTTGGCTTGTAAGAGTTCTTTATGAATTCCAGATACTAACCCCTTGTGAGATTATAGAATTTGGAATATATTGTTTCCTATTCTGTAGCTGGCCTTTTTACACGATTGATCATGTCTTTGATATATGTTGTTTTTAGTTTGGTTAAGGCCCATTTGTCTACTTTTGCTTTTGTTTGTCTCTGCTTTTGGTGTTATATTTAAGAAACCATTGCTAAATCTGGTGTCAGGAAGCCTTTCCCTGTGTGTTCTTCTAGGAGTTTTATATTGGGTCTTACATTTCGGTCTTTAACAGATTTTGAGTTAATTTTTTTTATATGATATAGGGGTTCAGCTTCATTATTTTCCATATGGATATCTAGTTTTCTCAATACCATTTGTTGAAGAGACTGTCCTTTCCCCATTGTGTGGTCTTGGCATCCCTGTTGAAGATCATTTGACCATATAGATGAGGATTTATTTCTGGGCTCTCTGTTGTTCATTAGTCTATATATCTGTATTTATGACAATACCACACTGGTATGATTACTGTTGCTTTGTAATATATTTTAAAATTCCGTAAGTATGAGGCTTCCATCCTTGTTCTTTTTCAAGATTGTTTTGGATATTTGGGGGTTTCTTGAGATTCCATATGAATTTTGGGATAGTTTTTCTATTTTTGCAAAAAATGTCATTGGGATTGCGTTGAATCTGTACATTGCTTTGTAGAATAGACATTTTAACAATATTAAGTCTTCTAATTTATGAACATGGGATGTCTTTTTATTTAATTGTCCTCTTTAATTTCTTTCAGCAGTGTTTTGTAGTTTTTAGCATGTCTTTTACCTACTTGCTTATGTTTATTCCTAAGTATTTTATTCTTTTGATACAATTGTTAATAGGATTGTGTTCTTAATTTCCTTTTCAGATTGTTCATTCTTAGGATATAGAAATATAACTGATTTTTGTGTGGTGTGTATTCTGCAACTTTGCTGAATTTATTAGTTCTAACAGCTTTTTTTTTTTTTTTTTTGGTGTAGAATCTTTAGGGTTTCTACATATAAGATTATGTCATCTGTGAATAGGGATAATTTTACCTCTTCCTTTCCAATTTGGATACCTTTATTTCTTGTTCTTGCCTCATTGCTCTGGCTAGAACTTCCTGTGCTATGTTGAGTAGAAGTGGTGAGTAACATCTTTGTCTTATTCCTGATCTTAGAAGAAAAACTTCCAGTGTTTCAAAATTGGGTATGATGTTAGCTGTGGGCTCATGATATATGGCCTTTATTATGCTGTGATACTTTACCTTTTGTTGCCCTCCCCCCATTTTTTTGCCTATATATCCCCAACCTTTTCACAGAACAGTGCTCACGTTCTTTATACCAAACTTGTTTTTACCATGAGAAAGTCTTACCCTGTCGTCTTCTTGAGTGGAAGCTGCCTTGTCCTTTCTTTCTTCTTCTTTTTTTTTTTCCCCCCGAATCAGGTCATTTTATTATTGTGGTTTTTACACATTTTATTTTAATAGTTTTTGGGCAACAGGTGGTGGCTTTTGGTTACGTAGATAAGTTCTTTAGTGGTGGTTTCTGAGATATTGGTGTACCTGTTACTGGAGCAGTGTACACTGTACCCAGTGTGTAGTCTT